TCAAAAGTACAAATGCAAAGTCCTGCACCTGGGGAGGAATAACCCCATGCACCAGTATGGGCTGAGGGCCGAGCAGCTAGAAAGCATCTTTGCAGAAAAAAACTTGGGGGTCTTGGTAGACAAAAAATGAGTCAGCAATGTGCCCTTGTAGCATAGAAGTCCAACTGTGTCCTGGGCTGTGTGGGCAAGCGTGCAGCCAGCAGACTGAAGGAAGTGAATTTTTGCCTCTGTGTGGCACTTGAGAGACCACATCTGGAGCACTGAGTCCAGTTTCAGGCCCCCCAGTACATGAAATATATTGACATACTGGAGCAAGTTCAGCTGAGGGCTGCCGAGATGGCAGGGGGCTGGAACACATGGTATAAAAGGAGAGGCTGAGGGAACAGGGTTTATTCAGCCTTAAAAAGAAAAGGCTGAGGGGAGGCCTTATTGCTCCTGATGGGAGAGTGTAGAGAAGTCGGAACCAGACTCTTCTCAGAGGTGCACAGTGACATACTAAGAGGCAAGACGCAAGCTGAGACTTGGGAAATTGCAATTAGATCTTAAGAAAAAAAACTTCACAACAAGGTTGATGAAACACTGGAAGAGGTGCCCAGAGAGACGGTGGGATCTCCATGCTTGGAGATACTGAAAACTCAGCTGGCTGAAGTCCGGAGTAACTTGACCTAACTTTAAAGCTGGCTGTGCTGTGAGCAGGGGGATAAGACCAGATGACAGAGATCCCTTTCAACTGGAATTACTCTATAATTATGCTGCTGTGTGCCTAAGTCTTCGTAAGTTCAGACCCTAATCAGATTATTTAGACGAGAACAAGGGGTTGTATTGGCAGCATTAGATTTGCCCTTTGCAAAACCTGCTCTGATTTGAGCCACACTGTCACAGGACTAATATCTAAGCATTTGTTGACCCATTAACTTTGACCCTCGGTATTGACCTTTTCCACTGTCGTGACGGGACATGTGTTTCCTCATGCTGTCTCACTGTCTGCAAGTGACCTGACATCCTCACTGCCGTTTTTCCCTTTCACACAAGTGACTACGGATTCCCCCAGCATGTTTTTCACCCCTTTCTCCTCTTCCTTCCTCCTCCTTTTCCCTGCCTACATACTTGTCGGAAAGAGAAGTGTCATTGAAAATATACATAGATACTGTGGGTGCAGGGAGAGGGCAGCTCCCCCTGACTCAGTGTGTCATTAGATTAGGGCAGACCAGTTCTGGGTGCAGTATATCATGCTGTACTCCAACAACTTACTTGAATATTTCCCCAGAGGGCAGAGCATTTCCTTTCCCTCTGAATTCATACATCACCTGACAGAACACAGTCATCAAAAATGTGGAATCTCACTTCACTGCCGGATCATTACAAGGGTTTAAAAGAGAACATTTCACCATCATATATATCTTGTCAGACAACACTTGGCAGGTCATCTGAGGAAAATGAACACCCTTCCCAGCTGAAGAGTTGGCTGAGTAGGAGTATCATTTACAGTTATAGGTGGGCTCAAACCCACCCCCCTGAGGCTGGGAGATCCAGAAGCACAGAGCCAATGTAATATTTTCAGCATATACCTAACTCTCTATATTCATTGTGTGTGCCTCTCTCACGACAGAGAGGCAAGGAATCACAATAGTGAAATGCTTTACATACAGCTTTTCATGCAGGAGTATCCAAGGCTGACTCCATGGATCAGCAGATTATGGTCTGGCTGTCTGCTCATTGTGCTTAGAGCTACTAATAGGCCCATTTCCCAGTGAATTTGTTGAGTCCCTGTCTGAACTCCACTTACTTTGCTGGCTTCTGTGGCAATGAGATCCATAGATGAATCTCACCCTAGGTGAAAAGTTATTTTCTTTTCTTTGTTTTCTAAAACCCACGGCTTGATCATTTCATTGGCCATGCCTAAATTCTCTCGTGGCAAGAAACACCATTTCTCCCATTTTGGGTCATGACCTAATTATATCAAATTATTGTTGGCTAACATAGTCCAGCATCACCAAACCAGCTGGTGGGAAACTGCAGAGCTAACCCTTTGCTAGGCACTAGATATGCCATTACTACTATTCGCTTTCCTGCCGGAGCACGAAGGGTGCATAATAACACTCACAGAACAGCTCAAAACACACCACACAGTCTGACACCACAGTTTGCCCTGGAGTTTCTTGTCACCTATTGTGTGTCCTGATGAGTGGAGTTCCACACAACGAGAGCGGCAGATGCCTCAGGAAACTGGAGATGCTCCAGTAGACTCTATGTGACCCTGCTGGTGCAGGGGAATTGGACCAGATGATCTCCAGAGGTCCCTTCCAACCTCAGCTATTCTGTGATTCTGTGACTAACTTTCTTATTTCTTTTCCTGCTCAGGGAATGCAGGCAGAAGTGATTACAATGGATGTTATCTACAGCCTACAGCGAACTGTGATATATGTAACCTCTTCTTTATGATTAATAAACATTACTGATTAAAAAAAATATGTCCAGAGCTGATCAAGATACTGAAATCAAGAGGTTTGTTAAGGCAAAGACAATTCTTGAGTACTTCCACTTTGTCTTTGCAAAATCAGCAAGTAATCTACTGAGATACAATGGTCATACAAAATCAGGAATGTTTCCTTTTAGGCAATAAAGTCCCAGGGAGTTAACCTTGTCCCGAGACCCTAGAAGTAAAACCAAATCCCGAATTACTTAGGCTGCTGTTTCTATGAAGACTCAGCTGCGCATAATTCAGCAGTGCCCGTTTTCAGCACTGTCCTGTTCCCATACCTTGTCCTACTGTCAGTGCTTAGTTAAGATACCAGGCAGGAGCTACAAAATCAGATTGCAGGCTGTTTTAGTCAAGTGCCTGTTGAAGCTAATCTATCAAAGAAAAAAAAAATGGTTGTGAGGTATTAGTGACTACTGAGGCTTCACTCGCCTTTCCTTTCCTTCCTTTTATTGCCTTCAAAATGAAGACCAAGTGACCATAGCTATCTGTCATAACACCAAAAATAGTCTTGTTTTCTGTGACATTAAGCAAGCAGTCTACTCCAACAGATAAATGCCTTGAAGACAAAGGAAGGTGGAAAAGAAGAAGAAAAAGAAGAAAACAAGTTTGTTATGTGCCTGTGGAAAGGGTTTTATAGGGTAAGTGAAATTACAAAGAGAAAACTGTGATGTGGAGGATGATGAAAAAGGCTATCCCTGAGGCAGTTTGTCCCAGCCCCAGGACTAACACAGCATTCACAGCAGGGGTACTTGTAGCCACCTCTGGTTTCACTCCCCTTTGCCTTGAAAGCAATGGAGGGTCAAAGTATTGTACTATTCTTCATGAGTTGCATTTCCAACAACACCAAAAACTTCATACACACGAACAAATGTGCGGAGCCAAACTAGTGGTCTAAACTGACTGTTTTCTCTCTTAAGCTCTCAATATGGAGGTGGAAAGTGTATGACAGAGGAACATCCTGGTTTTTTCCATGTTTCTAAATGGAACAAGCGATGGCATTGGCAGGGTTTTCATTATGGGGTACGTGACAGAGAAGGGGAGAGAGGAGAAATCTGAATTCCGGAGAAAGCAAGAGAAGAAAATCTAAAGATTTTAGGAGCTCCCTGTCCAAAACAGGTTTACAGCTGCTAGTCCATCACTTTATAAATTAGCAACATTAGGCATGATGCTTCTTCTGGAAGCAATTATCATTGGGGTACAGATGCATTAGGGTGCACCCAAGAGTGCAGCTAACAAGCACATCAGGACTGTGGCACTCTATGTATTTACCTACATGTGCCTAGCATCATCTGGTGCCACAGAAACAAATTATACTTGGTACTCATAAAATACTGAGGGCTAATTGAAGTATAATTGTAGGTTTTCCCTCATGACTGGTAGACTGCAGTAAGTATGACAGAGCTGACATCTTATTGGATGGAAAGGAGTAAGATATCTTTTTATTTCACTGATACACTCTTGTAACTCCCACTAGTGTTTGAAATCGTGATGCTCCCTGTAGAAAGGATGGGCTAGAAACCTTTTCTTCTGCCTCATTTTTTCCCTTACTCATCTGAAGACAGTGGATTGCCACCCAGTTGCATTCAGGCTCTCGTTAAAATGGCCCTTTTATTTTTATTTTTTTACCTGAGTTATAAAAAAATGCGCTCCAGCTTAGTGCAGTGGACCTGTCATAAACATTTAAGATATACTGTAGTATCACATTTTCTGGGCAGTATAATAGCATTCCATTTGTTATTTCCCAAAGAGTAAACTTGGAAATGAATGGCTTTATGAAGAGGCTAGCCTTGTATTAAAGTTGATTGATTCCATTCATCCTTCAACAGGTGCCTCAGCAAAAGAATTTCCCCTTAATTAAGCAATATGATGTAAATTATGTGGTAGTTGATTTAATAAAAATATATGATGCAAACTAACATGGGGGAAAGCATCTTAAGGATCAGCAGCCTGATTCTCTGAAAAGTGCAGGTAATGGGAAGGCTACTGTAAATAAGGTCAGAAAATAAAAAGAAATCTTTCTAGATTTTTTTTCATCATTTCTGTTTGCCTAATAGATAGGTGAATTCCCCATTTTCTATAATTAAAGATATTTGAAAAGCTGTCTCCTTTTTCCCACCTTCTACCCAATTATTAATCTATTTTAAAAAATAATAATACAATTGGTTCTAGTGTTAATACTTTCTGAGACAAATAAATGTACGACTTATTTTTCTGATCTAGGTTCTTTTTTGAGCTTCAAGGGAGGAAGATGTTTTCCATTTCTTCTCTAAAATTCTGTGCTACTTGTTGCACAAGTGTTACTGCTCAAATATATTTTGTAGAAAAGCCATGAGACAGTGTCAAGGCAAAATATCCTCTTCCTGCACTCCTCACTTCAAGCACTACTTTTCATCTGTGGAGATGGTAGAGACTTCCCAGTTGTGAAGATTCATGACACAATTCATGATTTGGGGGTGGGGGGGAGGGCATCCTTATGGAAATGTAGCTCTCCTAGTATATCTTTTCTCTCTGTGACACAGTTTATTCCAGAAAAATACAAGGCTGGCTTCCTATCTGCTACTCACTATCTTCCACCTCCTCATCATGTGGACAAACCCTAGCAGGTATTGTTGCAGAAAGTACCATGTTGGTCTCTGCTCTTTGGTGTTTAGAAGAGGAAAAGCTGTAATTATTTAGTGCACATGTGCAAGCTGGATAGCAATAATGGAGGAATGGCAAAAAGTAATGAAATCCTGGAAAGGGATGGAGACTTACTGAAGGGCTGCAAGAACATGAGCAAGAACAGCAAGGATGGAGCAGGTATCTAGAGGGTGTTGGGGAAGAGGTGGTTGGCTTAAACTTTGGACAAACTCCTGCAACTCAGGTCCAGAAAGATGTGTAATTTTCATTCAGGAGCCTAACCTCTCTGGAAAACATTGCTAGTTGGATAAGTGCCTACCTTTATGCTTTCAAAGCCTCAGAATGTGCCTGAAGTAGCAATGGATTCACATCAGGCAGCCTGATTTTAGTGTGATTAGTTGCAGCTCTTATGTTTGCAGAATGAGCGCAACAGTCTCATGAGCACAACTGTTTTGGAGAGAGCTAGTATTTTTCCAACTTTCCTTTGAGGCAAAGATCTCCCACTGTCATTTTGTGGTTGTCATTTGTTCTGATCTTGGTCAGAATCAGAAAACAGTAAGTGCAAACTACAAAATGGTTTAGTTTGTTTTTTTTAGGATTAAATTAGACTTCTTCAGGAGTCCTTTAAAAACACAAATATATTTCAGCTCAGGCTATGGTCAGAGGCTCTGATTCCAATCTTACTTTAGTTTCATCTCCTTTACTGAAGCAAACTATCAGTCTTTCCTGGCTGGCAGTCTGCCTTAGCCAAGATATTTTCCATACTGAGCTCCACATAAGCAATGTCCTGAAGTGTGCCTTTCAAGAAAGAAGAAATATCTAGAGTCTCAATGCCTTTGATCAAAATAGTGATTTCCAGCCAGTCCTTTCCCTGATAGAGTAAATCAAAGGATAAGAAATTATTGCTTTCTGAAATCAGCAGTGTCAGTCCTTGACACAGGGGAGGTCAGTGAAGAAGGGTTAGCTTTGGTGCTATTGTGGCACTAGGTCTGAACGGCTCTGCGAGATCACTAGCACAACCTGCCATTCACAGACCCCCCCCAAGGATTTCTTTTTTAAATGAAAGGTTGCAAAAATCTCATTCCCTATTCCAGTACTACACACACAACATGTTCCCCTTCCCCCCATCAATTGGATGAAGCTAATGGGAATCAGGGCCTTAATGGAGGGCAATTCTGCGCAGGTGGGAAGGCATAAAACATTTGCCAGCCAACCTGTTTTGACTGGTGATCAATAAAATATTAATATGTGACCTTCATCATTTTCACTTTCCATTAAAAACCTCAGGACACTGGAAGCAAGGTATTTAAAAAATAATTCTATTTCCTGGTAACCAGCATTTAAAATAAAAATAAAAATATAACTATGCTCCTTGCGTTTGTGACCAGGAAGCTTCCTCTGTCACTGTCTGGCTCTGGTTTAGCTGCCAATGTTCTTTTTAGAGCATTTCAAATGCAACTGACTATGAGTGACTAGGCTTCTCTCTGTATCCAAACAATTTTTGTCTGTGAAGGCTAAGAGAGGAGAGCTTCTTACTTCAGCCACATGCATTGCTGGATTATTACTGTGATCTCTCTGATTCAGCACTACTCAATAAAGCTTTGTAAAGTCTGAAAGACTATAAAGCTTTGTAAAGTCTAAAAGACTGGAGCTACCTACCTCACAGAAGGCTGAGTGAATGTAAAGCTTAGTATATTTTGCATCTTTTCTTGATTAAGTTGATTTATGCTGTAGGATGGCAAGAAAGCTAGTTAACACAGGAATGAACTAATAAGGATTTTCTTCTGTTTTTACAGTGCCTCATAATCAAGCGTGTTTGTGCATGCACAAAGCCACCTTAGTGTTCAAAGGCATGAACACACTTCATGAACACCACCAATACTACAGAAGACTGAATTGGTTTGGAACCAGAGTCAGCCTCCATTCTGTTATTCTTTGCTACATGGATAAATGTATCCACCTCAGAGAGACAGGAAGAACTGTTTGGCTGCTGGAAGCACAAGATAGAAACTTCAGATATGCATCACCGATGTTCAGGTCTGCCACAGGCTTCCTCATGAGCTTTGGTAAGTCACCTAATTTCTTGGTCTTAACACATCCTAAATTCCTTTCTGTTTGTTGGATTTAGGACTGTCTTTAGCATGGCTTTGTGTCTGTGATACGAGGTGAAATCCTGAAGCCATTACAGTTAGTAGGAGATTCTGACTATGGCTGGAATTTCACTCCAAGGCATCTTTATGCTGTTGCTCCAGTGTGAGTGCTCCTAGTGAGTTAAAAGGTATTGCTCTTGTGCTGAAAATTATATAAACGCCTGCTATTTGAAGACCTAGGTCATGCAGTATTACAGATGAAGCAATGTGAAGAGCTGATATTTGTGTCATGTATAATAAGCGTCCAGAAGACTTGGGGCAGAAATTACAGTATAAATGAAGACTTTTCATTGCACAAGAATGTTTGTGGTTGCTTTACTTTAAAATGATTGCAAACATAAGTCCACAGTTTTAACCGATTTCTTTTCCTTCATTTTTTTATAGGATTATTTGCTTTTTTCCTATTCAATCAAGTTCTCCTACCATTACATATACTGTCCTATGATTCTCCTCACCCTCCAGCGGGACTACCCATGGACCAGTGTATGAACAATAAAATTGGGAACAGTACAAAGAAATGATGCAGTGTAGGAAGAAAGACAATCATCTTCAACACCTAAACGAGCATCAAACATAGACTCACTGGTCAGTGCAGAAAGGATGTCCTTGGAGCTAACTTTTGCCTAACACTCATTGTTTGAATCTCTTTCTTACCATCAGCTCGGTGTATGGTGCAAGAGAGAGAAGTATGGCTGCTTGGTGTGCAGTGGCTTGTGTCCGTGGTGCCCAGGCTGCAGCCCCCGGAGTGGGGTGGACGCTGCTTGGCCAAGGTCTCCACTGATGCCCCTGTGCAGTCCCTGTGACTCTGAGACATGGAAATCATTATTGTGTATTTGTGTGTTATTTTTATCTGAAGTGCTTTATGTACCGAGGTGGTGTATCACAGATTTTTTGGGTGATGCCTGCTCGGTCAAGGGCATATGAGCTACCCTGGGACAAGGTGGGAGGAGGCCAGCCTTGCTAGGACAGTGCTGGCGGCTCTTCCTGGGGGGAAGAGCTGGATACAGTGTCATCTGTGGCCGTAACGTGTGCCTGCGCTGTTACTTCATCACCTTTGCTCAGATTTCCTCTAGGAAAAAAATGATTAATTTACTCCAGAAGGAATGAACTGCCATACAGGCACTATTGAAGGCAACAGAGAAGGGCTGGGGAGAGAGAAAAGGGAATTCCAGCTCACATTTTTACTGTAATTGTGCCCTGGACAGCAGTCCCCTCAGTAAAAGAGAGCATTGGTCTCTACTCTTACTGTGATTGTGGGCCAGACAACATGCAGAGGGCTCTTAAAATCTGAATTTTCTCACATGAATACTACCCGAAGTGATCAATCCTTACAGTACAAGATAAGATAATCTAATGGCCTCTGCCATAGTAATGCCAAAACAAGAGTATTTCTTTTTCTCAGCTTACCTTGCTGCATGTAGGAACAGACTTGTTATTGACGCTTTAGATTTTACACTTTACCCTGCAGTTAAAGGTATGGATCATTTCTGAAATCAGCCTCCTTCTTTCTCTGGGCAGTGGAAAAGGTTGTAATATGAGGCACTTACGGTTTACATTTGCAAACCCCATCCCTACCCCCCAACCCTAATCCTGATGTCAGGGTGGCAGTATTTGCAGTAAAAGAACATGTAAAGGAGAAATAACCCCTGCCAACCTTGGTCTTCTTTATAGCACCTTATAGGTGCTGTAACATTCAGCGATACACTGGGCTCCCGAAGCATTAGGTTTTCAAGCTCTTCAAACTCTGATCACAGTTATAGTAAGGGAACCAATATCTGTTGTAAAAAAGCATGCAAAGAATTTCAAATACAAATCTTTTCACTATCTCTGTGGGCCCTGCATATTGCAAGAAGTAGTTATGCTTCTAAAGATTCATATTCCCCAAGCTTTAACTATAAACCCAACGCTAACCCTAAGGTTATTCACAGCCAGGAGATGAGCCCCTTCCCTAAAGGAGCACATAATTTTACCTCTACTTATACCAGCTCTTCTGCTATCATTGAAGGCCCATGCAGGATGTATACCTCATTCAAGTGGGCTAAAGGAGTCAAGTCCACCCCAGCCCTACTTACAGCCAAAGGATCACTCCTCATGGAAAAAGAGAACCTACGACCTTGGTCACAACTACACCAGTCCTTTCCCTGACTCTTTGGTCCCTCTAGAGTTCGTGAGTAGACTGGCCTCTAGAAAGGATTGATGTCCTCAGCCTAATTTGAGCACCAACTATGTCCTTAATACAGCAAGAGGACCACAATACAAATGAAAACAAAGAATTTGTCCCTGATACCAGCTTTCTGCATGGTTCTGGGGGCTCTGCAGAATCCAGCTGGAAACTGAGCTCTTGAAGCATTAGCATCCCAAATCTCTGCCATAAACCCAGGCTTAATATTGACATTCATTATACCCCAGGAGCTAGTAATCACAGTAAAAGAGAATGTAAAACCGACAAACATCGGTCTCCTTTCTAAACCTGTGAGTCTTGACATACTCCGCAGGAAACTAGCCTCATAAGGCTACTGCTATGTAGATATTGTCTTTATGGATGGCATCAGGCAAAGATCCTGGGGCAAATGGCTGTGGAAGGGTTAATTCCTGGCTACTCAACACCAACAAGCTCTAGAGATAACCAACTGGCCATAGCACCCTGCCTAGCAGCTGAAACACTGAAAACACACACTCCCACACACACACGCACTCACAGACATAAGCATGGTGTTTCTTCTGTTCAAAATACATATACTAATGGTATGGCTTTGCTTCCAGCCTTCAGAAAAGGCTGCTACAAGGAGCTAGGAAGGATGCTAAATAAGCATAATGCTGTTATATTTCATTCCTGTGAAGAAGGGTTTAGAGAGCAAAGCCTGCCGGGATATAGTTGAGGGAGTGCCTCCTCTGGAGGAACTCAAATTTGTTGCTTTCCAGTACCCTCTCTCTGCAGTTTCTGGGAGATACTGCCCGCTCTCAGGTGCCTTGAGTTTCCTCTTAGCTGTTCACTCCAAAAAGCAGCTAACATGCATACAGTATGTGCAATCAGAGGAGCAGGACAAAACAAGGAGTGACCCAGTTTGCCAAAGCAGACACATTAGGCAGCTACTACCGTAATTACCTTCTAGGTTTCTCAGTTTAGGTGATGTGACAATTTCGCAGTGATAACAATTATGTTTCTGGGCAGAGATTCACTTTTTTGGTGGGTTTATCAAGGCCTCCTAGATAAAATATGCATGAACACATCTTGCCCATCTTCCTCAGAGAGGCTTCTCTTATCAGCAGGCTAGTATGTGTGCCCTTGTGTAGCTGACAGTGTTGGAAGCATTTTTCATCCTTGCTGCAGTAAGGTGATGGTGGAGAGCTTTCTAACAAGAGTCTAGACTTGTTCTTGGTACCATTTTCTTGATATGATTTGATCCATATGTTACTGGAAAATAGTACAGAATAAACATAAGACTAACGCATATCTTTCTTTTGAAAAAAGAGAGAGATGGAGACAGGCAAGATTATGAATGTTGTATTTTTTTAACTTTGTCTCATTCCTGAAGCTACCTTCAGCAATTTCTGTAAGAAAAGACTGTTATTAGTGCTGGTTGTGTTATAGTAACATTCAGCTAATGATTTTTAGGAAATGGTTACAGAGACACCTGTTTGTGTGTGTATGTGAAAAAGAAATATACTACTTATATAAAACATCCTGTCCAGAGGTACCCACTTAGCATCTGAAGATTTGTTTGTAGACTGTTATACTCTGTTGCTGCTAGAATTGATTTCCCGGCTGAATTATTCTGCAATAGGACAAACCCACTAATTTTGCACCTAACTGAAATTGAATTTTAACAAATTGAATGACTTTTATTTTACCTTGGATGATAATTTATTGACACAAATAGAACTTCTTAATTAAATTTGGCATAGCCAGGTCTGTTGAGGCCACATGTTTTGCCATGCAGCTTTACTGCTTTTTGTAAACTTTAGAACAACATCTTGATATTCCTAGATTAGATTGTGTTTATTAAGGGCTGTACAGCCAGTGAGTTATTTTGACTGTGTGGTTCATAAGGATTCCACATGGGTTTAGCATAAATCTTCTCTGAAGAATGTCTATTAATTTATAATTTCTCATTAAATACATCAGAGATTGAAACCCATTGTTGCTATTCTGGAAACAGATGTCTTAATTCAAGAGAACCTAGCCCAGAATCTGTAAAAAATGGAAGGAAAGTGAGGAGAATAGAATTGCATTTATCACTATCACTCAGAGTTTGGATCCCAGTCAAGCTGGGAAAGTTTAATAAAAAGAAAAATAGCTACAGCATCACTGATGCTCTCATGCAAGCTGAAGGCTCACCAGGTTTAATCTACAGGGCCTCACCAGGTTTAATCTACAGGGATTAAACCCACCTAGAGGAGAAGCCAAGGAAGTGATCCTATCCTCTGCAACAGGTGGAGCAGCTCAGTCACAGTGATAATCCTTGTAACATGGGGCCCTGGATCTATTCAGGTTGTGAGAGTTGGTTTCTATGATCTTGTGCTGTGTGGAGCATGACAAAAAGCTTCAGTGCTAAAGGTAAGCTTGAAGCAGAGGTTAATGGCCATGGGTCTGCAATCGTATCAAAGAAAAAGGGTTGACACTGCTGGCTATCGACTTTGCAGGACAAACCTCCGAGGTGCCTCTAGAGAGCTCTCAGTTCCCAGTGGTGACTGCTGCCAGAAACACCGCTGAACTGCTGTCACTGTGCCACTGGCACCAGCCAGCCAGGCAGGTGAAGACCAAAGAGCTTTGCTAGGGAACCGTTGGCAGCTGTCTTCTTGCTCACTAGTATGGCTGCAAAATCAGAGAGGAGAAAAAGCTTAAAAATTGCATTTTTGATTTCATTTCACATTCGGGATAAGAAGACAGTGTTTAAATTCTAATTTTGACATTGTGTTTCACCCAAAATAATGACATGTTGTGTTTAGGTCTTATGCTTCTGTATTATACGAGTACACACTGGCAATACAATGATATTTACATCCAGAATAAATCCACAATGAAAGGTCATAGCTAAAACTAAACATGAAACAAAGATACATGCAGTATCAGAGTTTACATATGAGACTTCAGTTAAGGTTTTCCCCTTTTCCTAATTTTGCTAGCATGTTGGTAAGTGGTTTCTAAGCAATGAGCTGTCTGTTGCTGTCTCACTGAGAAAAAGAGCAGTAGCTTTGCTACTGCTTTGCTCGGGGAATGTCCTCTTTGGTTTGAAGGGTTATTGACCAGGCAGGTTCACCATTATGTTTGCTTTCACTTGGATTCCTATGAGCTACTGCTGTTCAGTTCAATTTAATGGCAACTGCATAAAACTATCAGACTGGTAAAAGCTATCTAATGTGTGCTAGTCAAAGTAATACTCAGATTTCATAGCCGCTGAGGGGGAAATATCTGACTCTTTTAGCTTCCTTTTCTAAACAGTTCTCTGCAGCAAGATCCTGAAAACAGGATGGTGCCACCAGCTCTGCTGAGATGAGCATACCCTCTGTGTTGCCCTGCACTTGCTTTGCAGGGACTGTGCCTCTCTCCTTCTCTTCCATCATTTACATTTGTGAGGTGAGTTTTTTGGTTTGAAAAACTTTGCTACATTACATAGTCCTGTCACTTCGGACTATACTGAAGCGTCTGTTTTATTCACGGATGAGTATTGGAGTATTTGGGGCCACTGATTACTGCTGTTTCTGTCATCTTTTGTCAATAGCAACCTCTCTTGCTTTCTCCCAGTTTATGACACCATTTTGTAGTCAGTAGGCCTAATACTTCTTGTTCTGTTCACTGGCTTTCCTTTAGTAATACAGCAGGCAGAAACCATCAAGCAGCTCAAAACATCCTCTTTAGGTTTCCAAAATAAAGCTATTACCAAGGAAAAACATAACTTCTTCCGTCCTTTACCCATGTGGTGCCTACTCTGTGGTGATTAATATTGTCAGTGCATAATAGGCTGACAGCGTATTAAGACAGCGGCCTTGCTTATCAGGGAGGAATTCATGTCTATACAATTGTATGAATTTTTTTTCCCCTTAGTTTTTACTGTATTTTGAAATGGGTTATATATCTACATTTGGCAAGAAAGACAAAAATGAAGGCATCAGGTACGCAGAATGAAACTATAAACAAGCCTGTCCAAGACAGCTCCTTGTTGTGAGCCTACCTACTTTGATACATGCTCATATTTTTTAGAGCACAGCACATTGAGGCTGATTGTTTTGACTGCTCTTGCTCCTGGTTCTTGGCTCCTGGCCTAGCTTCTGGAGTACAGAGAACTATTGCCCCCCAGCCAAGCTCACAGGCACAGGCCACAGGAACTCACCAGCATCCTCTGCAAAGCTAGTCTTCTGCCGGGCGCATGGGGGAATAGGGCCTCCGTAAGGTGACAGGGCTGCCAACTCCTAGTGTGATTTTAAAGGGGTGGATGTCATGGAATGTGTATTGAAAGCCAGGGCTGATGTTAAACACCTTGATTAAAAAAGCAACAACAAAAAAGAAATGCATATAAAAGAGGGGTGAACAAGCCAAACACATTCTTTCCTAAATGAGCATAAAGTTTCCAGAAAATTTCTCAAGATAACTCAGCTATTATAACTAGATCAGGATTTTTTTTTTAATTAGCATGCAGTGGGTAAATATCAGGTGTTGTCTGCTTATTGACATTTTCTTCCAACTCTTTCTGATGTATCTGCTCACCTGATTCTCTCTGTGGCTCCTAACTCGGAAACTTACTGTTGCTATTCAGGTTCAGCTAGAGTCTGTGTCCAGTGTCAGCCACTGCACTTTGAGAAAGGCAAGGATTGACTGAAGAAGGTTGTGGAGGCTGCAGAGAGATATATCTTCTGATGAAAGATGGAAACTAACTGGAACTGAGTGGGACAAATGGTAATTACCTTCAAAAGATTACTGCAAAGGGAAAGAAAGTAGGATCGCAGAGTAGGCAAAGTGGGAAAGGACCTCTGGAGATCCTCTGTCCAACCCCTCTGCTCAAGCAGGATCACCTAAAGCAGGTTGCTCATAGCTGTGTCTGGACAGGTTTTGAATATCTCCAGGGACAGAGACTCCACAGCTTCTCTGGGCAACCTGTTCCAGTTCAACCACCCTCACTGTAAAGAAGCTCTTCTTACGTTTAAATAGAATAGAGATTGGGGTTTGGGAACAAGATCCCTTTCTTCTTCCTTAGAATGCAAGCAGAAGTGCCTGTGTTTACAGTTCAGAGGGAGAAGAGATTTTTTAGAGGCAGGAAAAGCTGAAGGATACAGGTTGCCCTGCAGTCCTGCAGGTAAGAAAAGTACTGCTTGTGCCTGCAAATAGAAAACCTCTCTCTCTAGGAGTACCACTGTGTTTGATAAGGTGGATGTAAACAAATGCAGAACGCAGGAGTGCAGCTGAATGTGATGAAGGCAAACATGTCTTTACTCCAGTGGAAGTCCAGCTGGCTTCAGCCTACACATTCATGCCTGTCATTTACCTCCTTCCCACACTTGCAAGATAGGGGTCCATTCTTCAAACTTCATAGACATCCCAGGCTGTGAATCTTGCATGGTTCCTGTACCAGCCTCCTGGAAGAAGGCTCAGCATAGCTGATGTCTCTGCTTACTTTACCATAGGCTTCCCTTGTGCTGGCAGGAGAAACGATGTATATTCCACGTGTCTCCACTCAGCTTTGTCCTCTTCTTCCTTTAAACCCTTGTCCAGGTCTAGGAAGGAGACAAGCAAAGAAAGAGCAGAACTACCTTCTCTCTCTGATTCCTATCTAAGGTGAATGGATATGTGGGAAGTCCTTGATTAGGCCAATAGCTAGTGAAAAGAGGTAGGAGGAGATATTGTCCAATTAAAAAAAGTGCAGAGAGATGGGTTATTCCGTTTGCCATGCAATGTCTATTTACAAGAGGAAGCATTAACTTAAATTTACAGATTCAAAGAGGCACAGTGTTAGGGCTGATGATGGAGGAGTGCAGTGCACAGGCTGAGCTTCTGTCTTTAGCTCTGATATAGAGTTTTGGTGTAAACTGGGCTTACATGTTCAGTGCTTTGGTTCTGCATATAAGTCAAAGGAGTGTCAGCACTTCCCTCTGTCGTGGTAGTGTGAATTTGAAGTGATTCACAGCTTGTGAGGCGCTCAGATAATTCATGTGAGTGCCATAAAATATTTGAAAAGAAAGAAAAGTGAAATACAGGGCTAGATGAAAAAGAAAGGACAATGTAGTGATGCACCTACTTCTAAGCCCAGAAGAGACCATTATGGCAATCTAATCAGACTTCTTCGATAGCACAGACCTCAGGACTTCATTAAACTATTCGTACTTCAGAGCAAGAACTGTGATTGAACTAGAGAACATTTTTTAAGAGGAACTGTCCAACTTGACTTTAGTGGTCTCAGTAATAAGAGACTCCACCACAGTCCTCAGTAAGTTGTTCCTTCTCTATGAAACATACGTTTCTCATTCCTCTTCCTAATTTGTCTTGGTTTGGCTCCTCACAGCCTCATTTCATGTTGGTAAGCTAGCTGAAAGGGCTCAGTGTTATCCTATCTTTGTTCCCTGGGCATAGGATTCTGAGCATCACCTCTGAGCATCACTAAAGGCACTGCATAAATTATCCATTTAATATGCTAACTCCACTGAGCCCTCAAGCTATGGGTAAACTGGGAGACCCAAGAGCACTTTCTAACTTGATTCTGAGCAACTGCTTGGGCTGTGACCTGATTTCATATGGAGGTGCACACAGCCTCCCCTTGCCACTGCTCTCAGCACTCTGTTTCTACACCAAAAAAGCCCAAGGGCAGAGAGCTTCTCATCTTCCTGAGGTGGATGAGAATGGGGGTAGGACCCTACGATGTACTGCAGGATGTATGTCCAAGGTGGGGTAGGTGCATGCACAGAATATCCCAACCTAATATGCTCAGCAACCTGATAATGACTTTTAAAACTCCTCAGTGAATCCTCTCTGGGATTTCAGCCTTAAACTTTGGACTCCATCTCCAGATGTGCTGTTCCAAGGCTGGTCACACTGGTGCTGAATACAGAGGTAATGTAACTTCCTGAGGTAAAATGAGAAGCAAATGTTCTGCAGTTTTCTCTCCAAATTTGATTTTGATTTCATTTGAATGGTTCTGTGCCTAATTGCTTGCCTATAGTGAAAACTTAATGTGTTGATTTTCCAAGGGCTACTGTGCAGCACTTGAAGAACAATCAGTCAGACTTTTTATCATAACCCAGGCAGCCCTAGCACTGTTTGCCTGAAAAGAAATGTAACATCTCTACAGTGCAGACAATATTTTAGCTGATAATGTTTCTGCATATCTTGCTAAATAAAAATAGATCCCTTTTCTTTCAGTTTAGATATCAGTTAAAAGCAAAGCCAAAACCCCACTTACATTAAGGTGACACAGTACCAAATTGGAAGCTGAAGCTGTCTTCCATGTTTGACTGCGGTCACATCAGGTCCCAAACTTGATCCTGAGCCATCTGCTAATTGCAGTAGTTTTGCAATCATATATCCCAAAGCTAATTTGGTTTGGAAGAAGCTGTTGGAACATGGATACATCCCTGGAAATCGCAGAGAGTCTCTGGTAATGGGCAGTGCAAGATTGTTGAAGTGTTCCAATCTGTTCTACTACAGAATAAATTCTGATAGTTGCCTGTCTTGTAGAGTCTGTTCTCACATCCTGTGATGTTGAGTAGCTGTGGAGGATACTGCAAGTTAAGGGAGCCCTGAGGCACTCTGTCCTTAATATCCCACTAAAGGGCTGTAGAGACCCCGAACCTGCAGGCATGATGGGCAAGACCCCCAGAGCACCTGGGAACATAATATCAGCAAATACGAGCAAGTTTTCCTGCCAGTACATGGGAACTGCCGTCTGTTGGGCATTATGGGATATGTGGCGTGTGAGGTGCAAGGTATACCACCCTCCTGGGTGCTCTAGGGGCTCCTCTGTCTGAACAGCCCTCAAATCCCAAACTGTGGAGCTGTTCTACACCCCAAATCACTCTACCAGAAGGCAGAAGCTAAATGCAAAGCATGTTCTGATCAAAGTGGGATTTCTAGATTGCCATTTTCTCTTGAAAGCCCAAGTGCATCCCTTCAAATGCAGTGGTGGCAACAGCGCAAAACGTTCCTGGTGCTGCTCTACCAGCCTCCCTTGGAGGCCTTTGCTCTAGACATGGGCCTATCACAGTTGCTAGACAAACGAAACTAAACAAAGCATGATAGAAAGATAGACACTGATATGTCATGATCATGTGCTGTTATAACCAGCCCTCTTATAGTCTCCATCACTCTAATGACCCATTTGGCTCAGTCTTTTAAGGTACTTGTCCTCACAACACCCTAGTGAGGTAAGGGAAGGGCTGCAGATGGACACAGAAGCTAGGTCTATGTTAATAATAGCAATAAACCTTTCTAAGATCTGTTCTGTGTCCCTTGTGCAGAGGAAGAAACTTAGCCTGTGCCAATCTGGCTGCTGTACTTGGGCTACTCACATGGGTGAAGTGAAATACCAGGAAGAACAGGTAGAACCTGGGCTTATCATGTAGCCTCCTCAAGGCAGGGATCTGGGTTTTTTTTCCTATTTGTCTGCAAAGCACACAGCTATGGCCTTGTATAAATAATGCATAACATGCACAGTCATATTTTCTACACATCCCTGCCTGCACAGATGGCTTCAATTGGAAAATGTCATTGCTGATCATTAAAAGACAAAAACCTCTCCAATTACCAAAATAAATAGGTGGTATATTGTTAGCTTTTACAGTGAGTAGGACCCTATGTGGTTTTCTTTTTCCATGTATGCACCTTCAGCAAATGGATTTGATAAAACCCAGTTCCAGACTTCACCTTATTTCAAGTTCAGTTACCTAGGAAACCGCAGTATGCTGCTGGGACAAGCTGCCCGCTTCTGTTCCTCTTGAAGCTATTAAACATATCGGCTCTTCCTTCAGGAAGAGCAGAACACTGCTGATTTCAACTTCTAGCCATTTTATGCAGATAGAGATGGTGCATGTATGCCAGGAGAGACACACAGTTATAAATGCCCATGTGAGGGAGACACATATACACAAATACTATCCATACTTCTGTCTCCGTATTAAAAATTGCTCATTGAACTGTAAGACTAAGTAGAGATGTTGTATGTATCTGTAGTGCATTAATGCATAAACATATGGACTAGCTGTGTATATCCATGTGTACACATACATGCATTTACACAGACCTACACAAAGCGGCTCATGTGTACCTATGTGCTTATACATGTAGATACTACTTCTCAGGAAATGACTGAAGTTGTCAGGACTTCCATGGAATAGTAATTTTATTTGGGTATCTGAGGTAACAGGGTCTGGTTTCTCAGAGGTCTCGTTTGTGGACGGTGAGCTCATCTACTTTGGGGCAATGAGGCCTTTGCACTCTCTGCTTTGCCTTTCCTGCAAAATTAGGACCTTGAAGAGCAGTTCTGCCATGGCACCTGTGAGATGGTTGGATGGCACAAAGCCCACGCACCACAGTCATTTTGTGAAATGCTGGATTTCACCATATGACTGTAATGTGTATACAACAGTGGCATGTCTCTCAGGTGTGAGATATCTGGCTACACAGTGGCCTAGGGACATGGGGAGCTCAGGTGCTAGGCTGAAAGCAGAAGATATAAATGAACAGCTGGATAGGAGTAACCCATTTTCTTCCTTGCACCAGGGCCCAGGAGCTACACACCACCACTGGGGTGCATTTGCATACATAGTCAATTGGTCTACTCTTGTTTAACAAAGGTAGCATTGACTGGAGCTAGTTCTTATTTATTAGACAGCCCTGTCAGCAAGAAACCCCATTCTCCCTATGCTGCCTTTCAGCAATATTCCAGAGAGAGTGGATGGTTTTAATGTTTTCTTTTAGGAATGTGGAGCCAATGTGCAGCTCACAGATGGGAAAATAAAATCTGCTATGCATATCTCTCTGATTAGCTTGCTCTATGCCGTAACTTATTAGCCATCTGCAGGCATCGGCAGCCCTTTACCCTGTCTATGTATTAAATTACAACTATAAATATTATGACTGCTCTGGTAGAGAAGAATATCTTGAGGAGGTGGAAATGGTCAGAGAGGTGTCCTGAGATGCCATGATAGGAGATCTATTGTTTGAGGCACAAAGTCTAGCCTGACGGATTTTGAGGCAGGCTTTATCCTTCTTGCAGGAAAAGATCATCAGTACCTGTTCCTTTCGCTAGCCTGTGTAGAAGCACAAAGAGTAACAAGGATAATGCACAGGGAAAATGGGAGTGGAAATCCTGCTGCCCCTCTTCCCCAACCCCATAACCTATAATTATGGGGTAAGGAGCAGCCCAATAGCTCCAGTATATGGGATACAGCAGTGGTCTAAAAACACCTACCCATGGGGAGTGGGACTGTTACTAGCGTAAGTGTGGCTCCATCTGCCTGACCTGTATCCACTACAATTTGTTTTACCAGGTCCTTTCCACCAGGGGGAATTTCAAGCTGAGAGAAGAACCAAAGGCACAAAATGTTGAATTGATGATTTTGCTGTATCTCCCCTCTCAGACTGCCCTTCAGACTTGAGCCACTCAGAGCTTCTCTGTGAGAAAAGAGCTGCTGAAGCACAACACTGCATTGCACTGATGAGCTCTCAGCCTGCAAAGTTGCATGCATAACACCCATCTGCAAAGCCCATCCACAGCAGGCTTTGCTGCCTCCAGGTGATAGCGCACGCTTGGGGAAAGTCAGAGGCATCCCCTCCTGTCTGTACAACTTCCTAGGCCTCTTACAGGGACCACTGCATCCGACAGACACCTCGTTTCACTTAATGGTAGGGTGAGTCTCGTGCTAGGTGCAACTACATACTGCAGGGAGGACACTGTGCGCATGCGTCTTGTGGCTTGGCATACACAAACACACACAGACACACAGACACACACACGCACACACACACATGCACAGTGATCTAACAAAGAGAAAGAAAGGGAAAGCTATGTGCCAGAGCTCATCTTTCAGTAGATCATTTTCTGGGCAGCTGCAGATTTTAAAGTATTTGCTATTTTTTCCTATTTTGAGGGAGATTATTAAGCCCTAGTCTGGGGGGCATCTGCTATAGTACTTAAGCATATGCTTAAACGTTGTTCTAACCAGGAGCTTAAAGAATGGCTGAGCTGTGTACTTTCTCTCTGAAAGGCATCCTCCACAAAACGCTCAGATCCCCTAATGTCTGTTGATACAGACATGAGCAGGTAGCATTTGCCCTGGGACAAGGAGCTGTTGCAAAGGACAGTTACCAGAGAGCAAGCCACTCCTAGGACACCTGCATTGGTGTGAAATGTGCACCAGAGCGATATTTCTGTAATTTTTATAAGTAACTAAATCTGTGCTGTTTATTCAAGTACCACGCATTGGGCATTTTGCTACTTGACTCCCTATCAAAATTAAGCAGAATCACAGATTGGATCCTCAGCTATGCTTGCTGTGATGTCTTGTCTCCCTAGGCAAAGTGGTGTTCCTCATTGCTCCCATATATTGCCACTAAACTTCTGCAATAGATCAGAACATTTTGAAGGATGCTGATGTTGCCCATGAGTCTGATATCAGGCTCACAGAAGCAGGAAAAGAAAAGAGAAATGTGTTCAGCTTAGCTCTTCCTCCAATACCTACCTTTTCCTCTGACCTGTCCAGCCAGAGGCTCAGTTCAGCATCAGAATTAAGTCTCTTCTGCACAGACAGTGAAGCAAACATCAGAACTGCCGAACCACGGCATATTGCTGGTCAAACAATTACTGATGAGGTCTAACTTTGCAGCAGCTAGAATCCAAACATTATGAGTCATGCATTATAGAATATGTATATTCTATACAGACATAGAGCATATGTAGCACACTTTCTAAGCCATTGCTTTGCATTCTCACTAATTGACTACGAAATATATGCTTGCTATATATTCAAACTTCAGCAATTGTCCTCATAAAGCCTTTTTCAGGTGCAAACTTGCCATATTGGAGCTATTTGGGTTTGTAAGTAACTCGCTGACCTAGTTAGTTTATGTCTGTCTATAGATAGGTAGTTAGATACTCGAAAGTCTGGTTCAGTAACTGAAGAGCCTTTACTTTCATCAGTCTGTCAGCACTGGCATTATGTAGTTTTATCGGCATTACTAAGTCTAATATAGAGTCCTGCAGTACCCTGTAGTTTCCACACTAGTTGTTCTATATAACTTACGCAATGAATTTGTTTCAGGTCAATAAGGCACACTACATATGTCTATGTGTGTGTATACATACATACATATGTATCTGTATATATCTATATACATGTACACACAGAGGAACCTCTATATGTGTTTCAAACCCATAAACAGCTAATGTGGAAATGACACATGATTTCTTTCATACACTACCTCCAGGATGAAGTAGGGCATTTTTAACAGCTCTGAATGCTGATGAGGGAGTGAGCAATAGCCTATCCAGATCAAAGCCTCTGCAATGCATCTTTCACCTCCTGGGGCAAAGATTCATGCAGCTGGGGACCAAGTTTTATGAATAGATGTTCTGAGAAGGGATTTGTCTATAGCAATTGTGTCACTGCCTGGGACTCTCTCCTGGAAACTTTTATGTGTGTCAGACATTTCAGCTGAGTTTGTGTGTTGTTCTGCATAGCAGCATCTCTGGAAAGCTTTGCTTTCCTGGCTGCCCCTAAGTCACTGATTTTTGGTTGTTGTGTACCTATATCTTAGAGGATATTATGTTTTTTTTGGATATGTTTCTTATCTGAAAGACTGAAAGTGATGAAAAAAAGGATTTGGCAACAGTGAAACTTGTGATAATTGTCTGAGATATAAAAGTTGCTGGCGGCTCACAGAGCTAGTGGCAGCAGATGCATTTATGCCAGTGTTACCCTGCTTTTTCAACATCTCCCAAGCTTGACTGATTTTTGACAGGATTACAAAATGAGTGTAGGAAGGGAGAGAAACTCAGTTATACAGACTAAAGCATTTACCGTATTGGAAAACTAACTCAAGGTATGGATGATGGTATATAAGTGGAAGATTGGCCAGAGGGCTGTAACATCTAGGAATGCTTCTTTCTCTCCAGCTGACATTTTTCATGTGCTATGTCTTGCAGTATGTCACCCTGTGCAACTCCTGTGTCAGAGAATCTATGCAGGCAATGAAAGAGGCTCCAATCTGCATCCGTTCCCCCACCTCGGATCCACATGCTCATTGACTTTACTTGGAAGAACTGTGAGCATAAGGACAGAGTGAAGATTTCGTCCCTCCTCTTTAACTGTGGGCAGAGTTTCGTTCCTTGAGCTGATGGATGTCTTAGTGGCTCTGCAAATCTCTGCTCAGTGGCTCAGTCTCACCAGGAGCAGAGACGCAGGCTCATTCCTGGGTCTAGAACCGCTGGTGTTATGCATGAAATTGGTCATGTCACCTCCAGGCCTCTTGATCCTTTCGACGCTAAACTACTGTTTTCATTTTTTTATAACTTCGCCTAAACATAATACATTTTTTAGAAGATAACTATATGATGAAACCACAGGTCCAGATCTATTTTCCCCATTTTAGGAGAACTGAACATCAGTTGGAACAGGTATAGAGCAGGGATAAAAGTGGTAATAGATGGAATGGACCGCCTGTCTTATGAGAGAAGATTGAACTTGCTTTGTTTAGTCTAGCAACAAAAAAGCTGACAAAGGCTGAAATTGCTATATATGAGTAGATCAGAGAGGGGAAAGGAGTTATATTTAAGAGTTGGTTTTGCATAATAGCAAATAAATAGATTTAAAATATCTAGGAGTCAGTCTGGACTGGAAATGAGAAGCTTATTTCTAACCATCAGAGGAAAAAGTTTCTTAAATAGGCTTCCATGAGCCTTCCATGTGATGGAGTCAAAATTAGCTGTAAGGTGAAGCTTGAGCAATTGAGGAAAGGGAGCCTACAAAGCCATTGCCTGCAACTGCAGGATCCTGGGCTGTATGATCTAAGAGATCCCATCCAGGCCTGTATTTCTAAGATGGAAACCACAATTTAAACACAGTGTGTGAATAATGCGCTTATAGATATCTCATCTTGGGTGCCTAAAATCACTTAACAATTGACAAGGAAGGTTTGCAAGGCTTTGACACCTGTACCACTGCTTTCTAGCAATGCTGTGAAAATAAATGTATCATTGCATTAGCTGTGCTCAGATATGAAGTTGAGAGTGCTTTGGAAACATCTAGGAGGAAATTAAATAATCTTCTGCTTGGTGAGATTTTTGTCATGTGAGCTGCATATTATTAAAAGAAATATTGAATAATAGTGGTTTTGGGCAACACATTTTTTTGGAAAACGGTATGTGGTCATGTAATTAAAGACGATATCGTAACATACAGGTACAGTTTCTAACTTTTCCATCACTTCTCTAGCTTTTGAGTGCCTGATTTTGCAATTTTATGGTTTTGTTAGCATAAAGAGGTGTTTTGTTTGTACTAATGCTGAAATGTATTAATGGGTCCAAGAATGTTCAACCAAAGCATATTTTCATCAGTGGTGCTGTTCTCATTAACGTAACAGGATGTTAGGTCAGTGGTAGGCAAAAAAACCCCTAACATCAACAACAAAAGAGTGAGTTTTCCGGTTAGATTAAAACTTCAATAGTCTAAGTTGTGTTTTACGAACTTCACTTGCAAAAGCTGATACCACTAAAAGAAGACAAGGAAATTTACTGCTGATAACGTTCTTATTCCTAAACCAATTATTTCCAAATATGTCATATGCACTAGCTCTCAGTGAGGATTAACTATATGACAGGCTTGAACTTTTAAAAGTAAGTGAGTTTTAAATTATGAAAGAGCAGGGGGAAAAAGGTGAGACTAATTTTTACCATACAGAAACATGTAAAGTTTTTCAGTGCATCATCATTTCAAGTCATCTTGTCATAAATGTAAAGAAAATTATTCTTCCTCTCCTCTTTTCGTTACTTCCTAAAAATAAATGCTCTGTGGTTGGAGCAAGGAACTACTGGCAAAACTCAAACAGAAGAAGGAAGTGTACAGAAGGTGGAAAAGGGGACAGGCCACTTGGGAGGAATATAGGGACGTTGTCAGAGTATGCAGGGATGGGACAAGGAAGGCTAAGGCCCATTTGGAATTAAATCTGGCAAGAGATGTCAAGGACAACAAGAAGGGCTTCTTCAGATACATCAATAGCAAAAGGAAGACTAGGGAAAATGTGGGCCTGCTGCTGAATGGGGCGGATGCCCTGGTAACAAAGGATACAGAGAAGGCAGAGTTGCTGAATGCCTTCTTTGCTTCAGTCTTCACTGCTAAGGCCAGTCCTCAGGAATTCCAGACCCTGGGGACAAGAGAGGAAGTCTGGAGAAAGGAAGACTCTCCCTTGGTCGAGGAGGATCGGGTTAGAGATCATTTGTCCGAACTTGACATCCACGACTGCATGGGCCTCGATGGGATGCATGCACGAGTGCTGAGGGAGCTGGCGGATGTTAT